AACATGTGTTTTAATGAATATATATGTACTATGTATTTGCATAGCTTATAAGTAGCATTAGTCAGCAAAACGTGAAGAAGTGAGATTTTTCATCAAATATAGATAACTTTATATGTCTAAAGGAAATCAAAAGACATATGGCCTGATAATTAATATAATTTGCTGATAATATTGATGCTTTTTCGCCAGACTAGAGTGAAAAAACGCGCTTCGCTTTTGAGTTCGTACCGAACGTCCAATTGCAGCAGACGTACTATTATACACATAACATATCTATATTTGTAAACATAAATATGTATATTTCTACTCATATATATATAAACAAAAAGATATATAACTTAGCTGAGAGGCGCGAATTGTGTAATTGGAGGCTTATAAGGGGGCGCGTCACTTATTTTCGCGCGTAGTGTACATACCTATTTATATACCATATTATTTTCACAGTTAATTGCGAGTGGAAATCTTTAATGACTTTCCAAATACTGGTTTAACTAAGCATCGATTCGGTACACTACTTTTTATACACGTCCGTAATTGCAGGCTTAAGTGGTATGTAGCTTGTGACTTTAGTAATATTTGCATAAAGCCCTCGATAATATTTTAAAATTACTTTAAATAATATTTGTTATTGTACTTGTACATAGAAAAACTTGATACAAGTCTGGTCGGTTTGGAACTAGTGCACTTTCTGCACTTTTTCTAACAAGTCCGATATTTACTGCAGAATATTTGCACTCGTGACGAAATATCCTACAAAATGTGCATAGATGCTTGAAACATCAATACAAAAAAACAAATAAAATAAAACAAAAACGTGAAAAAAACGTTAGCTACGGCAGCACCAAAGTTGTAATACCTTTCAGAGATGCATTTCTTATAGCATAAAAGTGTATAAAAATATCTTTATTCTGATTTTGATCGATTAGTTTGAATGGCACCCATTTCTCTAGTGGTGCGATCTGAAAACAATTTCCGGAGATTATAGATTATATATGCCAAATTTGGTGAAGATACCTTGTCAAATGAAAAAGTTTGCCCAAACGAGGACTTGCTTTTGATTAATTAGTTTGTATGGTAGCTATATTTTATAGCTTCTTGGATAGATTAAAGCCGTGAAATTTCAGATCGATATCTCAAAAACTGAGGGAATAGTTGTCGTATATACAGACGGAGATGGCTAAATTGACTCAGTTCGTCACGCTGATCATTTATATACCTACCTATACTTTATTGAGTCTCCGACGTTTCCTTCTGGATGTTACAAACTTGGTGGCAAACTCAGGGAATATTGAGCTAAGTTCACGGCATAAAAATAGATGTCAGAAATTTAAATGAGTTGCAGAGCTTCAAGTTTAGTTTAAGTATCATTTAAAAACTCATAACTGAATTATATTTTTTCAAAGCCACACTTGCAAAATCGCTGGTATCTGGGTTATGGATCCTTAAGGCATATGACGATTGTTGCTTATTGGTGTTATAAATGCTCGATTTTAGAAAACTCCATAACAAAATGACTTGCGAATTCAAGTACTAACCTCTAAGTTCTTGATTCAGCTCAACATTTCATCTCTGCGAGATGAGAACTCATAACCTTTAAACGTGTGGCCAAACTTCATCTGCGTCTATATAATAGTGTTGTATTTGAGTCAAAAATACGTTTTATAGACCTTGAAAAAATATGCTTCGTTAGGCAGTTTTTGACATTTCTGTAACAGAACTGATTACTCGCATGTTTACTGCAATACTTTTAGTTATATTATTTGTTATCTTTTTAATATTTGTAATATCATATTGTTTCCTAATATATTTTTGTCATTGAATAGTCATTCCACACCACTCGAGTTATACAAGTATGTTGAACATAGCGGTACATTATTTATAGCTTTACCATATATATGATATGTGATAAGGCTGTTCGTAAATATCTAATTTGTTATACGTAAGTAGCCATCTGTATGTATGAACACCGATATTTCTATCGATATACAATTAGGCATGTGTATGTATTTGTAAGTCAATAAGTGATATTAAATGTATATATAAGTATGTATAGTAAGTACATCTAATAGATTCATCAAGTGCAATCAGCCTCATTTGAGCCCTTAAGTAAGGTAAATGAATGTGAATTGATCGTACGACTGACGCAAGTTAAATAAAAATCACGAGGGGGTGCATGCACAAAATTAACAAAGGAACTTCAATTCGAATTACTCAAATATATTATATCATAAAGGAACCCAGTAATAAATAATCAGTAATTCTTCAATGATTTTTAGAATATAAGCTGAAACAGTTGGAAGTTTGTAAATTTTAGAAGTAAGATATTATATCTAAGCATATTGTGATTTTTATACCCTGAACAGGCTATATTAAGTTTGCCACGAAGTTTGTAACACCCAGAAGGAAACGTCGGATACCCTATAAAATATAAATATACATAAATGATCAGCATGATGAGCCGAGTTGATTGAGCTTTGTCCGTTTGTCTGTATATATACAAACTAGTCCCTCAGTTTTTAAGCTATCAATTTGAAATTTTGCATTGCACCTGTCCTTTTCTCACTAAGAAGCTGCTCATTTGTCGGAACGGCCGATATCGGACCACTATAGTGAACCCTTATAGTAAACCATAAATTATAGAACTAAAATATTATATCTGCGTGTGATGTTTTCGAATATTTACCTACAGCAGAAGTGCAAAGCGTTTATGATCAACATTTAAAAAATTTAGGGGAACCTTTTTATGTTGGTAAAGACTTTGATTTTAAAGAGACTTATTAAATCGGCTGGCAGACAAAGTCTCCAGTGTAACATTGGAGGCCGGTAACCAAAAGCATATCTTAGACTTTACCTGTCACTACATAGTTCAGTAAATGATGCCAAACTGAATCACAGTGGAACTATAGTACGAAGCGCCAGATTTTTCGGTATAAACTATAGACCAGACTTTAGTTCGTTAGCCGAGTGTAGAGTTACTACCGAGGCTTGTTCGGCTAATGATTAAAAAAATAAATTTTGCGTTTAACGCTTCGGTAATTCTTCAGATTTGAACCAGAGGCATAAAAAGATTTCAATTCTACACAATGTAATACATATTACAATATATACACTCAAGTGCAAATTTGACACGAACTGGTTAATGTAAATTGCGCGCTGAAACCGCAACGATAAATACTTTTTTCGCTGATTGTTACAACCGTTTTTTATGTTCGTGTGAAGTTTGATCTATATCTGTAAATTAGGGTGGTGAGCAAGATTTTGGCTATTATTATACTATAACGAATCTTATCAATTTTAGTAACTTTTTTTCAGCATCATTTAACGCACTTCCTTCCGCATAGCGATAAATATCAGCTGTCAGTGTAAAAAGGGTACTAAGCATCTGTTTTTTGATATTACCTAGGGTTCGTCAGCAAATAAAACTAAAGTCACAAGTCCACTAATAACTATGTACTACAAAAAGTTCTAAGTGAAAACACTGAATGGCGTGTTAGTTACGAAAAGTCGTTGAGAATTTCTACACACAATTAAAGACTGGAAATTATCGTACCAACAACACCCTCCGCATGAATTTGTGTTGCGCCGTATTGGCTCCCCAAAACTTGTCGATACTCGGCGCTGCTTTTGAACCCTTGCATGTGTGTAAGTTTACGCGATTTTCGAGCAATTAGAAGATAAATAGATACAAATATATGTACGATTGTTTAAGCATATGTAAATAAAAATAGATATATATTAGTATAACACGTGCGATCGGCACGATCGGTGTGCTCTCAAGAGTCAAGCGCTTTGATTTTCCATTCAGTTTTTCAAACGCCGCGAATGGATCAGTTCGTTAAGTACGCACTGGCAAAACGTGTAGAAGGAATATTTTGAAAAAAAAAATTAATAATATAAAGCACGTTGCGTTTTTAACTTTCGGCAATTTAAGTGTTGAAATATTAAATAATTAATGACAATTATTATTCATCTAATTAAAATAATAAGTTTAGCGTGAAATATAAAAGCATAAGCTTATAGTATATGGATTTAGTACAAAAAAATTGTGAAAATCGCGCATAATTTTATGGTTAGAAAAAAGTTTGTGTAAATTGTTTTGATGTCTTTTGTAAACAAATTTAAAAAAAAGAACAAGAAAATATGTTAACTTCGGTTGCACCGAAGCTATAATACCCTTCACAAATACAAAGGTTCCTTACAAGAACTTGATGCCGATAGTGCCATTTGTATGGCAGCTATATGATATAGTGATCTGATCTGAACAATTTTTTTGGAGATTCCATTGTTGCCGTAAAAAATAACTCACGCCTAATTTCATGAAGTTACGTCGTCAAATGAAAAAGTTTTCCATGCAAACACTTTACTCCGATCTAACAGTTTGTATGACAGCTATATGATATATTCCTCCGATCTATACACTTTCTTCAGAGATTGCATTACTGCTTTAAATAATAATCCATGCCAAATTTTGTGAAGATATCTCGGCAAATGAAAAAGTTTTCCATGCAAGCACTTTACTCCGATCTTACAGTTAATATGGCAGCCTTATGCTACAGTCCTCCGATCTATACACTTTCTTCGGAGATTGCATTATTGTCTTAAATAATAATCCTTGTCAAATTTTGTGATGATATTACGTCAAATAATTGATTCCGATTGTTCAGTTTGTATGGCAGCTATTGGTTATAGTGGTCCGATATCGACCGTTCCGACAAATTAGCAGCTTAGCTTAGTAAGGATAGGACAGGTGCAAATTCAGATCGATAGCTTAAAAACTGACGGACTAGTTTGTATATATACAGACAGACGGACGGACATGGCTAAATCAACTCAGCTCATCATGCTGATCATTTATGTATATATTTTGTAGGGTCTCCGACGTTTCCTTCTGGGTGTTACAAAATTCGTGGCAAACTTAATATACCCTGTTCAGGGTATAATAAAGCTATTGCACCACAAAATGAAATATTATTGAACATCAACTCTATTTCATATTACAGAAGAGGAAACCGCACTCGAACACATCATCAAATCACTCGAAAATCCGACCATGAAGTGCGAGGGTACACACTTCGACTCTCATGTGCCGCACACGTTCGTCATCTTTGGCGCGTCGGTAAGTGAAACCTGCACACTTTAGCGTCTTAAAACCGACGTAAAATAAAAGTGTCGGCTTTTTCTACTTTACGCAGGGTGACTTGGCCAAGAAGAAGATCTACCCCACCTTGTGGTGGCTATTCCGTGACAATTTGCTGCCGAAACCTACAAATTTCTGCGGTTATGCGCGTTCAAAGCTCTCGATTGAGGAATTGCGTGCAAAGTGTCATCCATACATGAAGGTAAGCCAAAACTAACGGCATACATATGTATATACACTACAGCTTTACATAATTCTGTTTACGCTCAGGTGCAACCACACGAGCTGGCCAAGTATGAGGAGTTCTGGCAATGTCACGCATATGCGGCAGGTGGCTATGATAAGCGCAGCGACTTTGTTGCCTTGAAGGAACAATTGGAGCGTCTGGAGTGCCGTTACAATTGTAATCGCATATTCTACTTGGCTTTGCCGCCATCCGTCTTCGAACAGGTGACTGTGAATATTAAGGATATTTGTCTCTCTGAACGGTGAGTAACAAATGAACCTTTGTCTCGCACACCCTAGCTTTACCGTGTAGAAAACTCTCGTGCCTTCCGTCGTCGTCAAAGTTTCTAAAATTTTTAAAAAGCGCCTAAAAATTTTGATTGGTTGAGTTCGCGCAAAAATCAATGGTTTGAATTCTTGTTTTCTCATGTTTAGTTATTTTTTTCAAATGTAGACATATATTTCTGCAGAACTTCACATGACCTTCATTTGTGATTCTGTTTCGGGTCGCCTAACCGCTGAATGTTACCGAAACATCTCGACAGTCATATCTTCGGCGTACCGGGCGAATAGGCCAAAATTGATAGTTTATTACTCTAGAAACCAAGTTTCTGAATTTTGTAGACGGTAGTTCTTAGTAAACGTGTTTCATTCCAATTTGTTTCTTCAATGTACGGAAAACTGTTCTCTCGCTCCCACCGTGCACCCCGGTCACCCCTTCCATTTAAGTTAAACTGAAATATTTCAGGATAGCAGAAACCATCTTTTCCAACTTTGAGTTGCCTATCCATATCCGCCTTCGTATCCATACATTGAGCTCCGACCACTAATACGCTTTTCTTTTATTTTCTATTTAGCGGCTGGAACCGCGTTATCATCGAAAAGCCCTTCGGTCGCGACGATGTCACATCAAAGAAGCTGAGCGATCATCTCGCCTCGCTCTTCCATGAAGAACAACTCTACCGCATTGATCATTATTTGGGTAAAGAGATGGTGCAGAACCTCATGACTATACGTTTTGCCAATAAAATCCTTAACTCAACATGGAATCGCGAAAATATTGCATCGGTGCTGATCACATTCAAGGAACCCTTCGGCACACAGGGACGCGGCGGTTACTTCGATGAATTCGGCATCATACGCGACGTCATGCAAAATCATCTGCTGCAGATATTATCGCTGGTCGCCATGGAGAAGCCAACTTCCTGCCAACCCGATGACATACGCGATGAAAAAGTTAAGGTACTGAAAAGCATTCCAGCACTTACATTGGACGACATGGTTTTGGGACAATATGTCGGCAATCCCGAGGGCCAGGGTGAAGCGCGCGAAGGTTACCTGGATGATCCGACCGTTTCGAAGGATTCCAATACGCCCACCTTTGCACAGGGTGTGCTGCGTATCAACAATGAACGTTGGGAGGGTGTGCCGTTTATTTTACGTTGCGGCAAAGCGCTGAACGAACGCAAAGCTGTAGTGCGCATACAATATCGCGATGTGCCCGGTGATATCTTCGAAGGTAACAGCAAACGTAATGAGTTGGTTATACGCGTGCAGCCCGGCGAAGCTCTATACTTCAAAATGATGACCAAGAGTCCCGGCATTACATTCGATATGGAGGAGACTGAGCTGGACCTGACCTATGAGCATCGCTATAAGGACTCCTATCTGCCGGATGCGTACGAACGTTTGATTTTGGACGTATTCTGTGGCTCACAAATGCATTTCGTGCGTTCGGATGAGTTGCGCGAGGCGTGGCGTATTTTCACGCCTGTGCTGCATGAGATCGAAAACACTAAAGTGAAACCAATACCTTATGTGTTTGGCTCACGTGGCCCTAAAGAGGCTGATCAGAAGACGGGGGAAAACAACTTCAAATACTATGGGTCTTACAAGTGGCATGGAAAGAAGTAGGAGCGGTGCGATTGAGCCAATAACAATACAAATGCATAGAAAAGACAAATAAAACACCTAAGCAATTGTTTAAACTATTAAAAAATGGTTGTGTAAGAGTAGTTTTACATATGTACAGTTTTGAATACATACTTGTATATATATATTTGTAAATGTACTCGTAGCTTGTAAATGATGATGTAATGAATGGATTGTGCGATAAAAACACTGACTTTAATACTTGTTCAGTGCAAATACGATATATTTCATAATATACCATATAAATTAAGTAAACGGAGCAATGGATTTAAAAATAAGTTTATAAGTAAATTTTTGAGAAAGTTCAAACAACAATTTATAGTTTTTTTTTCGGCTGTGGGAAATGAGCCTAACGCATTGAAGGTAAGAAAAATATTAAAATTTTCGGGTCGGAGTTACAAACTCAGTGTTGATTTTTAGTTAAAAATTCTTGTGGTCGTTATACTTAAAGAAGGTCACGGAAAGACCATGTGGGTTTTGTTCGACGACTTTGCGGACATTACTGCTCAATCACTTACTCTGTCCTTGGAATTTTTTAATATCAAACGGAACGGAGAGATCCAAACAGTTGATTCTGAAGAAGCTGATATTATCAAAACCCGACCGAAAACTAGGATTATCGGTCTCAGGTTTGGTTCTCTCACAAAATATATTATGTTATATAATATAAAGTTCTCCGAAGTAAGTTATTGGAAAACTTGAATGAACATATTTAGTTTAGTTGCTATGAGATAGCTAATTAATTTACATTATTCGTATTTCCGCATTGCAGGCTAAAATGGCGGTTTCGTTGTAATTTCTTCCCTTCTTAAAGGTGTAAATGTTCTATGGTGTGTTCGTCTGGTGGAGGGCGCTCAAGAGGACCACACTGGCTAAAAAGCTTGAAAGGGTCTAAAGAGCGGCGCTCATCGGAATCTCCGGTGCACTGCGGACCACACCGACACTAGCTCTTAATGCTATTTTAAACATAGCACCTGTGGACATTGCCGGTAGGTGCATTGTCGCGAAGTGTGCTCTAAGGCTCAGGGAAGCTTGGCTTTTGAAGAGGTCCGAACAAGGGCACTCCGAAATTCTTTCCTCCTTCAGCGGCATCCCGGAAAATATAGATCACTGCGTCACTGTAGCCACTCGAGGCGGTTCCTTCTCCGCTCATATCCCAACGAGGGACATGTTTCCCACCCACAAGCCGTTGGAGAAGAGGCGCGGTGAGCTTTTTCACGGATGGATCGAGCCTAGGAGGGAAGGTTGGAGGGGGGATTTTCTGTAAGGAGCTCTCCGTCAGTCTTAGCTTCAGGCTACCGGATCACTGTAGTGTTTTTCAGGCGGAAGTGGCTGCTATTAAGGCGGCGGTAGAAGTACTGCTGCGTAGTGCAGCCTCGTTTGTAGAAGTGAGCATTCACTCTGATAGTAGGGCAGCAATACTAGCTTTGAGCGCGCGTACCGTGCAATCAAAGCTAGTCAAGGAGTGTCTGTTCTCTTTAGAGGTAGCGTCTGGCTATTTCAACATCAGGCTCGTTTGGGTGCCTGGTCACAGCGGAATCGCTGGAAACTGCAAAGCCGATGAGCTAGCCAGAGGGGGCACCTTTGCCCCGCTCACATCGGAATGGGATCGGGTTGGATCTCCGTTAGCGTCGATTGAAATATCTCGGCAATCACACGTTTGGCGGTCCTGAAAACCTATCCGTAATGGATATTGGCCGTCTTAACAAGTTTGTAGTCAACACAAGACGTCTTGTCGACTTGTAAGGGTCTTTTGATCCGGACTATAGGAGTCGTAGGTATCACAACGGACTGGCGTCTTAAGCTGTCCAAGTGGGATCCCTTCTGGGATCGACCTCCTAACCTAACCTAACCTAAGGAATTTCAAAGCATTCCTTTCCTTTAGTTATTCTAAGAAGCTCAAATGATTTCGAAAATATTTTTAAATTAAGTGTCTTCGATCCGCTCATTAAAAACAAGTACAAGTATAAAAGAAATCGTTACAACAGTAATAACGGATAAAAGTCATAGAAGCGAACTTAAAGCGTCGGGAGGTAAAAGCTCTACCAAATCACTCGCTTGTGTCAGGCAAATCGTTAACGAAAGAAGTGTTGCTAACCAAGAGCCGAACAGTGCTCGTTTACTGCACTCACAACTTAATTGTTTTGCCTATCAACGAGGAGTAGCTAAAGGACCTTCGTGCTAGGCACAACGCAGCAACGGATTCGTGCGGTACTTTTGTGGATTTTACACAAAACTTGCGTGTGTGGGGTGAATGGCGCAGCAAATATGCAGAAATGTGAGAAAATTATTAGTTCTTAGTGAATAAAGAAATTAAAAATATTATTGCATAGCTTATAAAGTGGATTACTCGTAGCAATCTGCTCAAATTTCGACGCAGAAAAGTGAAAAATTTTTGATAAAGAAAATTTTTGCACAAAGCAGCAGCGTAGTGGTGGAAAGCGAAAGCTGTGATGGGTGGAACAAGTAGAAATTGCACAAAAGTTACAGCTGAAGAATGAGCGAATGGTCGATAGTGGCTCAAATGAGAGATGTATGTAGATTTTTGTAAACAAATTGAGAACGAATTTTACAATTAGTGTAAAGAAAAAATTAATAAGAGATAAATTAAAAAAAAAAGTAATTACTATTTAAATAAATACTATGAGTAAAAAAAATAACTAATAAGTAAATATATGATTTAATAAACTAATTCGGTGATTTTTAAAGCAAAATATTTTTGAACAAGCGGCAAGAACAAAAATGCATTGAAGGAAAAGTAATTAAAATTTAGTTTAAAAAGAAAGGAAACAGAATTTTACCTACAATATAATTTTATTATTTCAAAAAACAAAACAAAAAAAAAATACTAATAATACAAGGTGTTTAAAATGTAATGATTTTTAAAAACATTTAATTGAGAATTTATTTTGAATGTGAAAAATATTGTATATGTATACCATATATAGCTAAAAAAAAGCAAATATGTAAATAGGAATAAAATATTAACAATCAAACAAAAGTGATTAACAATAAAAAAAAAAGTTATTACAGTGCCAAAATAATACGAAATATTTTTCACAGTTATGTAAAGTTACGTATGTAAAGTAATTGCCATTATACAGTAGAGTTTTAAAAAATAAACTTTTTTCAAATGATTTAAAAAAAAAAATTTCAAATATAAAACTAAAATTTCCAAAATTATTTTTGTATCCCTTAAAGTACAATATTGGAAAAATATATAAAAAAAAATGTTTATTTGTTTAAAAAAACCTCACTAAAAAATTACGATAAATTAAAAAAATTCCAAATTTAAAAAAAAAAAATAAAAATTCCAAAAATAAAAAAATTTGAAAAATTAAAAATTCCAAATTTTTTTTTTATTCTTTAATGTACTATATTGGAAAAATATATACAATAAAAATGTTTATTTGTTAAAAAAACCGAACTCAAAAATTTCGAATAATTAAAAAAATTAAAATTCCAAAATTTTTTTTTATTCTTTAAAGTATTGGACAAATATATACAACCAAAATATTTAGTTGTTAAAAAAATCACAAATAATTAAACAATACTTAAAAATTCCAGAATTAAAAAAAAATTTTGGAATTGAAATTTCTTTAAATTTTTTAAAACACTATATCGAAAATATATATACAATAAAAATTTATTTAAAAACACCGCACAAAAAAATTACAAAAATTTCACAAATAATTCAAAAAACAAAAGGTTATAAAATAAAATATTTCATACAAATGCACATTGTATGCTACCGTTAGCAGGGTACAAAAACACAGTATGAGGTGTGTTTACAAAAACAATATACATACAAACAAAGAGCACAACAACGTCCAACAGTTATAAAGGAATTTATTCGCCAAGCAGCCAACCGCCCAACCATTGATAGCGGCTACACGGCACGCTTTGCCGCTAGTTCCATTTCTCGGCTTTCTCATATGGACATTTATTCGCTCCTTTTGTCACACGCTATAATACGATTCCTTTTTCACATTCGTTCAATTTTCGTTGTTTAGGGTGGAAAATGTGCCACTGACCGTACCACAACAATTCGAATTGTCCCTGCAACTGACGAGTAGTCACAAGCGCCCATTTAAAGTGGCGAACAAACGCTCGCAGTCGCAAAAGATTATTACACGGGCAGCAAGCGTATGTGAGAAAAACATGCAAAGATGTAAATGAAAAGTGAAAATCACAAAAAATTGTTTAGCAAAAAAAAAATATAAATTATAATAACTACGTAATTGTTACTAACGTGCGCTTTGTGCTTGATTTCTGAGTGCATGAAAAGAATTTCACTTTCGCGTTAATCGCGTATGTGTAGTTTATCGAATTATGACAGCTGAAAAATTTGCGTTTAACAAGTGAAAAGTGTTGGACGACCTAACAAGGAACGGCATAGTAATGACGTGTTTATCACGGCTTACCAACTGCCAATAGCTGCGCCAGCAAATAATTATCATAAACATATTAGAAATTTTGTAAATATTAACTGCGTGCTGCGTTTGGGCGTTTAGCATCACATTTTTCGCCACTCAAACGCGCGAGAATACGCCCAGTTCAGGCGAGCCGCTGGTGTTACAGCCGCCGTAGCGCGCGCTGCCGCTGCAGCATCTCTTTAGTTGGCTGAAAGCAGGCCAATTGCTTTGGCAAACAGCAAAAGGCAAGCAAAACACGCACATTGTAACAACAGAAAAAACAACAACAAATATTTTTTTTCTAGTGTGCAAAGAAAATGCATTCCGTGAACGTGTATGAAAGTGAGGATGAGCGACGCCATGGCCATGATGACACACGCGAATTGCAGAACTTGGATTGGCCCTTCTTGATTAAGGTGAGTGTTTGTATAGCGTATACATACGTACATATGTATATATGTATGTATATAAAGATTTATACATGTATATACATACACACACACATAGAAGCATTGCATATGTAATAGGACGCCAACGAGGAGCTAACGAACGAGCGCGATTAGGCCATGACCTGGCCACCGCTGCAGTGGAGCAGCGCTTGTGTGCATTCACTTATGGTTTGCACGCTTACTTGAATGTTGTGAAAAGTTATTTGCTATCAGCTATGACACAGCAAACGGAATTGCGGTTGTGCACAAAGTGTGGAGGGGGGAAATACGCTGACAGTGTTGATTGAAAGGATTAGAAACTCTGTAAGCCTCACAAAGTCGCTTGACTTATTAACTATGGCGGAAAAAACTGTGTTGTCGAGGGGTGTCTTTTTGTTTGTGCGAATGTCAACTGAAAGCAGGGGACTAAATAATGCTGACAGTATCGAGCGAAATGGAATTTACATTGCAAATAACCTAATCAATAAAATTGATGTCCTTGAATGTATGAGAAAAACTGAAGGGTGTCAAAGAACAAGAAAAAAATTTTAATTTTTGTTTCAGCAAAGTTAATACACTTCACAAGTAAAAAAGTTTATTTACAAGAACTTTATTTGGTCCGTTTATATGGTAGCTATATGCTACGGTAGTCCGAACTGAATAATGTGCTCGGAGATGGCAGTGTTGTCTTGTACTATAATATATGCCAAATTTCGTAAAGATATTTTGTGAAATGAAAAAATATTCCAAACAAGGACTGATTTTTGATCGAATAATTTGTATGACAGCTATATGCTATAGTCATCCGATATCGGTCATTCCGATAAATGAGCAGCTTTTTGTGCAGAAAAGGCGTGTGCAAAATTTCAGATAGATATCTCTTAAACTGAGCGACTAAATCGACACAGTTCGGCATCCTATATTTTATGATGAGCTCTGAACTTAATGGGATTAGCATACCGACAGTCTGATTTAACCTCAAATGAAGCTTACGATTGAGCCTGATGATTTAACAAATTTTCTGCTTCAAAAAGAATCGAATCTACTCAAGTCCTTTACTTACAATAGATGTAATGCTAACCGCACACTATTAGAATCGGACTTGTGAGAGTATCGAACGACAGAGCCGAGTACGATAAGTGCCTGAACTCCACACAGTAAGTGGTAGGTTCCAGGTAGAAATAAAGACTAGAAAATTCTGTTTTAATCGCAATTGTTCTTTTACAAATTATCGGAGCACCCCTAAAAACAATCAGAAAATCATAAACGTCATTCTGTAAGCCAGGTTAAGTGCAGTCGCATAACTTAAGTGAAGGTAAATACCCACTCCGTATTATTATTCCCACAGATGAGTATGTATTTCCACTTTGAAGTCGAACTGACGTCTGTCTAATGCCAACCGCAAGGACTTTTTACTTGCTTTTGCTACGGCGCGAAGCCGCAAAAGCCACAAAAGTGCGAAAAGTACAGATAAGTTGTGAGTAAAAGAAGATTGGGCGAAATGCGTTGTGCACACAAAGCAAAGGCAAATTTGGTCAAAATTGTCATGAACTGTGAAAGTGTGTGAAAGTGATAAATGAGCCACAGAATTGGGCGCACTGGTAGGCTTTCACTTCATTACACCGCCTGGCACAACTGCTATTGTGGGTGTTCGCAACGGCTTCTTCAAAACAGTTTGCATTTTTTGCACATTGTTTGCTTTGTGCTAGTTTTTTTTTTGCATTCTTACTACTAGTGCTATTGTGTTTGCTAAACATGCAGAAAAGTGAGTTTACTTGCCGAAAAATTCATGTCACACACACACACGCATGCATTTGCATGTACAATGCATGCAAAGCATACAAAGCGCATTGCTCGAAATTACCGATTTTTTGCTTCATTTTACTCTCCTGTTTTCTAAACAAGCAGTGAGTGCGTCGCAGGCGCAGGAGGTTAATAATTCCAAGTAAAATGAGGCCTATTATTAAACAAATAGTAATAATATATGTAATTCCAAAAATAACGGTTTTTAATGGAATTATAACCTTTTATATGGCTTAGCGCCTGAAAGTAGACTATACTTTAATTAAAATAGTATATTTGGGCTCAAATACTGGCTGGTAAAAATATAAAAAAAATATCGATTAACGGTAGGTAGGTAGAGTGGCTGTCTAACGACGCACCTACGCCTTTGGTAGGCCCATTGTGCTACCACCAGCATTAAAAGTCCCTCACTTTATTGGCTCCTCTTTAAACCACCCCGTGCTGCTGATGAAGTTCATCAGTATATTTGTCGATTAAATATATGCAAGTAGCCAAAGGCATATAAATTCGCTCTTTTCGGAAGTGTAATTGTAGGGTGGTGCCTGTTCTGGTTAGTTCATCTGTTTCACAGTTCCCAGGGATATCACTATGTCCTGGAACCCAATGCAGGTTTAACGTGAAATAGAATGTTAGATCTACTAAGAGCTCAAAGCATGCTTTCACTAACTTAGACGAAACTCTAAGAGACTTTAGTGATCTCAAAGCATCCTGGCTATCTGTATATATAAATATATATTCCCTGTTGTAAGCACACTCCTGTAGGAACAAGCAGGCTTTCTTTAATTGCTATGAACTCCGCTTGGAAGACACTGCAGTGGTCTGGAAGACGACTTTGGTAGCTACTTTTGAAGACGCCACCGCGCACTCGGTTAATTAGTTTGGAATTATAGGACTACTATATAATATGGCTGCTCTACAAAAAAATTGTTGTTTAAAATCAACTCCTTGCATGGAAAATACTTTACTTGATCTTCACGTACTTTGGCATAGATTATTGTCTAAGACAAAGCTATATAATCTCCGAAGAAATTGTTCTGATCGGAGTACTATAGCATTTAGCTGACATACAAACTGACCGAACTAAAGATCTCGTATACGCTTTGATGCCATAAGAAATGGACCTGTGACAATTATCATGCTTGGCGGCAGCCGAAGTTAAGGTTTTTTCTTGTTTTGTAATAATTTATGTGCAAAAACTTAAACGCTCTGCTTACTATATAAATATTTTAGAATAAATGCAGCTTTCTGGCGGCAGTTATGTTTTTCCCTCTGACATTTGCAATGCAAAATTTTGCTCATTAAACAAAAGCGGGATGCATTAATATGCAAATTGTCATTACTACTTTTTATTTTACGCTACGAACGCCGCTACTGCCGTTGCTCCGCTTTTTTACTGCAGCAAATTGAAGCTTGTAACTTTAAAAGTGACACATTTCAACGAAAAAGAACGATACAGAAACAGTTGCCGATTCTCAATTCGCTTTATCTTAAATTTGACTGTGCCTTGTGCACAAATGTTCGTTGCTGTAATTATTACTTTTGTGTTTGCGGTGTTTATTAGTGCTCCATTTGTGCACTGCCAATGGCGGTCTTCAGTTTTAGCTGCGCTCATTGTTGATTTTTCACTTGTAAAATATAAAAAGTGCATTAACATGTTCATTTTTGTTGTAGTTTAAGCACTCGAACATATGTATGTATTTGTTGTTTACAATGTTGGCCGTACGCGTTGCAGCAAACCACGGCGCTGAGTGTTGCCACTGGCGTTGCTTGATTGCAAAATTCGAGTGTGCTACGCCGACCTGTTTGTAGCAGGCGTCAGCAGCAGCAGCAACGCTTCAACTGCTCTATGACTCTTGCCATAGGAATTGACCCACTTTTTGTGTGTTCTATATACACATATATATTCATGTATGTATGTATGTGTAAGTGTAAGTTGTCGCCTGTTGTTGCCAATGCCGCCAATTTTCTCGTCGCCAGCAGTCATCTGCGGACTGATATAGTATTATTACGATTGTTGTTGTTTTTTTTCTGTGTTATGTATGCATTCAAATGCGGTTATGACGCACTTCTTGGCGCTCACATACATACATACAGTGGTTATACAAATTCATGCCACTTATGTCATCCGCCGCCCACACTTCAGTCATGCACCGTTAGTTGGCAAGCGTTTGCCAGCCTGCAAGTTGCAGGCACTTTCGCCTGTTAACACAGCAATTTTATTAACACAAATCTTTGTTTTTGTTTACATTTCCGACTTTTTGTTTGAAAACAGTGCGATGCAGTGGATAAATTTGCAATTGCATTTCAGCATATTGATTTCGTGTCGTGCTGATTGATTACAGTTTTCAATTAAGAAGTCGTTCGGTTGGCGCCACTAACGGATTGTTCACACACACACACACATACATATAGAAATATATTTATCGCAATATTAAAATTTTATTGGTTTCCTAAACACTTTTATTTTTCTCATTTTTGTAGGGCATTCTGGAGAGCCCATCATGCACAACAACAACACCAGACACTATGGCCGCGATGCTGTGGACAATTACAGCGGTGTTTGGTATTGTTTACGCGCTGCTCGGTAAGTAATTAAGCAACTATTCCCAGATTGCGTTGCAACCGATTCATATGTATCGAATTGAGTTACGCCATAAAGACGACAAAGACTCTATTCATCTACATAACAGCTAGTACCCATTGAATACACTTAGTAACCTTACGAAAAAATGTTTCGAAACAAGCACCACTGTGTAGCGAACCTTGAAATGGATCACCCTTTATTAGTAAAACTTTTGGTGACAGGGTCTAATACGGGTCTTTCCGTTAATATAGAACACTAAAACCGAAATATGGACACAATTGAACTGATTGTGTCTTTCCGAAATTGGACACTTTCATCCAAGAGTTTCTATAAGCTTGAATATTGTGAAATATTAAAAAAAATAGAAAAATATTAGGACTTACCGTATTTTTCGGTGCAAGGACAAACTGTTTTTCTTTTTATTCTTCCATTTCTTATGAGATATTTCCTTTCATTTCACAGGCTATCGCTGTCTGCGCGCGGTGGGTTTCTTAAGCGGTCTGATGGTCGGTGCAAATGCGATTTTCATGTTGCAGGACTTTCAAGTAACGCTGCTCGGCAAACCAGCCGATTCGGCATTAGCGATCGTGGCGGGCTTGCTGGGTGCCGTGATTGGCTCGACATACCCGGTAGCATCGATACTGATTAGCGCATTCGCGGGCGCGCTGGTCGCTGGCGCAGCGATGGCTGTGTGCGTGGCCACAATGCCAGACAATGACTTTGGCGTAAGTAACAACGCAGAATATTCGATAAAACAATAAAAAACACGCATGCTTTTGAAATTATTTGCAGTATCGCGAAATTTATGTCGCCATCGCGGGTGGCGCGGTCATTTGCTCGGTGCTGACGTTTTGCTGCGCTAAATATGTGACCATACTGACATCGAGCATCGTTGGCAGCGCGATGATTATAACCGCTATCGATTTTTTCATGCACAACCTAGACACGATAAATTGGGTGAGTGTTGGCGTCAATTACCGTTACTTGTAATAAATATAAAATTGTGTTAAATTAAATAACAACAACTTGTACTATTAATAATATTAAAGATTTTAAATATGAAACCGAATCCGCTGCCACCGCCTTGCTACGGCGGCATTTTGATATGCTCTTGGCCGGTGGCGATCATCATCAGCATAATGGTGCAGTGCTTCATCACGGCCTGGCGTGTCGATCATCGCAAGCGCGTGTACCTGCGACACCACCACCAAATGGCACGCTGCGGCGCCGGCGGATTGCCGACGAATCGCATGAGCGGACGACCGCGCGAAACGCGCGAGGAGGCCAGTCAACGCAAGTACCGTTATCTGTATCAGGTGCGCACGGCGCGCGGCGACATTATTTCGCAGGTAACAAAGCACCAAATTAGCAATTAAAAGCCACTAAACGAACTCTTTGCAGAACTTTGTGTCAGCTTTGCAAAAGCGCATACAACTGGGCGGCACCGAAACGCCCTCAGAACGCTCGATTAAAACGAGTTCGAACGAACGCAATACATTTCGCAGCGATCGCACACACTTCACTACCATACCCGATTCCGAAATGTGCGACAAAATCGAAATTGTGCGTGATCTAGGATAACAAACAAGCAACAGTTACATGTAAGCGGCGAATATGCGCAGAAAACGGAAACGTAAAGGTGGAAATAAGTGAGGAAGTGTGCGCTTATTTGCATGCGAGTGAGTGCGTAAGAGACGCGCGTAGAGTTTGCTTGTGTTTATCCTAAGAATCGCGTATGTGTGTGCGTGTGCGACGATCGTTGTGCGTGTATGTATAACGGGAAATGAATTGCCAATACAACAACTACAGTTAAGTGATAAAATGCAACGTTGCGTTTGATGGGCGTGTAAATAAGACTTGACAATGCTTAATGTATATGAAGTGGTGAGAGAGTGGTGAAGACGAGTCATGCGTGTTAATGCATGAAAGTGATAAGTAAGTTAAAATTTGTTGGTTTCGCGCGCTAAATTAAATCATGTAAACAGAAAAAAGGAGCGAAAATGTCCAAAGTAAGCGAGGTGAAGTTAAAATACTGGCGTAGAACACTAAATTTTATAAATTAATTAATAACGTAAAAAAGTTGAATACATAGAAAGCATAGGAAACTAAAGCTGTTTGGGCGTATTTTCAATGGATTTTGAGTATGAAAATTCAGGTATAACCAAAAAATAACACAAATTTTACGTTAAAATGTTCAACATTATTTTCGAGTACAAGCAAATTTACGACACTAGCTGCTAAGTTCCTCTTTAACAAGTACAGACAAGGTAAACGTTATATGTATGTATGTATGCTCATAGAATATGATCTAAAAAATTTTGTGTAACATCATTTAACAGGCTTTAACTTACAAAGTATATTCATTTTAAACGTTTTGTTGAAGTTTCAAAAAGAATAAGTTTAGGTATTTACTAAGTTTACCAAAAAAATGATTTTAGAAAAATTAAGTTTGAAAACCTAGTAAGTTTACAAAACCAAAAAAAAAACACGAATACTACCTAACTACTTGATTTGTGTATGTGTGAGTGAAAAAGGTGTTTTCATGCATCCAATTCGCTACTGGCAACTTTCAACGATAAATTGTGTATGCAAGCGCGTTATAAGAATTGTGAGTTGCTTAATAATAATTAATTGCATTTTTTAAATATGCCGCTGTGTTGTCATACTATCGATTTTTGTGTAGAAATTAAAACAAATAAAAAATTCTAATTTTTCAAAAATATTTTGTATATATAAACAAAATTGCGAAATTAAATATAAAATGCTGCTGTGTTGTCTTATTAAAGATTTTTATGTGAATATGAAAAAAATTATAATTTTTCAAAAATAGCTTGTATACATTAAACAGGGTTGCAAATTATTAAATTTATTTTTATTTTTTAATTAAAAAATTGCGGTAACAAATAGAAACATTGTTTTTCATAGCAAAAGCAGAAGTAAAAAGGAATAAAAAAAAAAGATTTACATATTTCTAACTAAAAAACTATAACTAATAGTAATTAAAAATCAGTGAGATAAAAAGTGCTAAACTATGTTAATATTTTATTAAAAATAAGCTTTGATTTTCAAAAGATAACCAAAATGATAGAAGACGGTATAAACTACTGCGAAATAATTTAGTATACAAATCTCATTCTTTTTTATACTTTATAGTTAGGTTGTGGCATAAAATTTTTTTTCCAATACGGCATTTGGGTTTAAATTTTTTTTACGTTTCAATCCGGTATCTAGGATTTCAAAATTATTTTTAATTAAGATTTTCGGAATCACAAAAAAAAAATTATTTTAAATGTTAATTCATTTGCCTTTTATTGCATTATTGCAACCCTGGTTGTCATATTATCGATTTTTGTGTGCAAATTAAAAAAATTATTATTTTTCAAAAAAAACTTTGTGTGTATAAGCAGTTATCAGAAACTGTGTGAAATTTATTAAATGCTATTATTTGTAAAACTTATATTTGTAATTTAAATAAAAACATGCACGAAAAATCGTTGCTTGAAAATTCGTACTTTTTATCGTATGAAATATTAATATCGCATAAATGCGCAAATTAGTGGCCATGTAACCACCGAAAAGTACCCACTATTTAATGAGGTTCATATAATTTCAACACTGCCAAAAAATAACTGAATATTTAGATTTTTTAAATTGATAAACCAGAAATTAAATTTAAAAAAAAAATTTCAACATAAAAAAATATCGAGAAATAAATATGTTGTACTTAAATACAATAGTTTTTAAATAAGTTTGGTTAAAAGAAATACTGGTTTTTTTAAATAACTCTAAAAAAAAAAAATTACAGTGAAATAATTATTTCAAGTAGTATTCAAAACGTTTTCAAATTGTTTTTATTGAAAATAATAATAATATAAAATTGTTTTTATCGAAAAAATAATAATATAAAATTTTTTTAAATTAATTAAGCAGAAGTTTCAAAAAAAATAATTCCAACAACTACCGAGAAATATTTTTTCAAGTAGTATTGAAATAGTTTTCAAACTATTTTTGCTAAAATCAAAATTACCGAGAAATAAATATATTTATTGGTGGTATTAAAATAGTTTTTTAATTCTTTTTTAAATTGATATACCAAAAAATTTATATATTTTCTAACAAAAAAAAATTACCGAAAATAACTTTTTTTTCAAGGAGTATATTGTTTTATAGTATAGTATAGCTATTAAATTATTTTTGTTTAAATAAAATAATAATATAATACGAAAATACACAAAATCTAAAATTCACGACAATTTACTTTTTTACTACATACAAACATATATTATAATTTTGTTTTTTTAATAATTAATTTTAACTACGAACTATTTTTTTAAAACTACAAATTAATAAATAATTTTTAATAAATAATAAAAAAACAATATTTTTACTAACGCGTAGCAGAATTTCGGTATACACGCTCAAAGCATGCATGGCAAGCCTAAGTTAGCACGTTTTACGAAATATTCACGTCAAAGGTTCACTATATGGGGCTAAAATAATTTGTAATTGTTTTAAATAATTAAATATATATTATATAAATATGCTCATCTCTACGTTACCTCATTTTAATAAGAAAACAACTACTATTTATTGTAGCACAGATTATACTGATTTAAATATTATTTTAAAATAAATTTTACATAAAAATAATAATATATGTATACGCATATGTAAACCATTTAAAAATTGTCACACATACTTATATAACAAGCAACTTGAATCTCAACTTATTAAATATTTAAAGTACCAAATATTTTTGTCTAACTGTACTTACATATTTTAAATATATAATATTGTTATTTAAAATTAAACTAATATATATATATATATATATATAAAATTTAAAACAAAAAAAATATATATATATAATTTAAAACAAAGAAAATTTATATATTTTAAACATAAATATGTATGTATATGTAATATTTATACGAGTATTATAGACTTAAGTCCTTAAGTATTGTAGTTTGCCACACTAAACAGATACTTCCATTAAGATAAGTCATACCTATAACATAAAAAAAATATGAACTGTACTTATTTATTACTATTATGACTGTATTTATCAAAAATAGTAAATTTGATTTTGCGGCAGTGGGATAGGATTTTTTATATTTTTATTTTTATTATATATTTTTTTTCGTTTTATAAATATATAATATTTCTAAAATATAAGTAAATTAATAAAAAAAAGCACTTATAACATATAAATATTTTTTTTTTTTGAAATATGTTATATACAATTTTTTCTACCATATATTTATTAATTTTTTAACGTGTTTGTGGTTATTTGTTTACCTACTTAATTAATTGTTGGTAAGTTTTCATTAAAAAAAATAAAAAATAAATTTTTTCCACTTAATTATTACTATTTTTTTCTATTAGTTTTCCAATATATGGTACATAGATGTATTTATTTTATTTAAATATTATTATTGTTATCATAACTATTATTTTTAATGTTACTTAATTTGCTTCGCTTATTTTCATCAGTTTTATTATATGTATATTCATAGTATTTATTATTATTTTAAGTTTTATATAAATTTTTACCATATTTTTTTCATAAAACAATAGCAAATAAAACTTTAAGTATTTTAATATTCCTTTTTTATTTATATTTTCCTTGTACTTTTATTTTTTATCAATTACTTACTTTTTTATTATTTAATTTTTATATTTTTTAACTTTTTTTCATTAAGAAAAAAACTAAATTTTAATTTTTGATTTAATATTGATTTTTTATTTACAAATATTTACTCAATTACATTTTTATTTTTTATTTACTTATTTTATAACTTTATTTTAATTTTTGAAGTCTTGATTCAAAAAACTTAATATGTGTCATCACATTAACAGAAATTTACTAACCAAATCATTTTGTGCTGGTATAAAAACAAAACAAAAAAAATATATATACAGTCAACCTTAAAAAAATTGCATCAACTCTCTGTGATGAGTTTGCTAATAAAAAAGTTTCAAATAATTTAAGCTGTCTCTTACTGTTTTTACTTAAATGCGCAACTTCTGTATGTATTTGTATGAAATATTTACAACTCCGTACATATATAAAATATATTAATTAATAAAAAATATTACAAGTTAAAAATTTTACTTAATAACTTAAAAAAATATATGTGTGAAAAATATTGAACAGAAAATAGTTTAGATTTGACTTTTCCGCTACAAAACATGAAAAATGTTTAACAAAAATAAATATGTACATAATAACTGTAGTTAAGAAGAGCGGTGCACGTAAAAACGGCAGTACAAAGAGAATTTGGAAAAATTCAGTTGTGCGAAAAGTAAACTAATTTCAAACAATGTGTTGAAAATTATTAAAAATAATTAAAAATAATAAAAAATATGAAAAAATAACGCGACTTTTGATTAACAGCTTGGAGTGTTTTCTTTTGCAAAAAATATTTAAGATAATTAATTTCTAATATTGATGAAAATTTATGTTTTAACAAGCCAAAAAAAAATGTTGATTTATTAATTGTAGATTTTTGTTTTTTATATTTGTTTAATTAAAATTAATATAAGTTAATTGTTAATAATTCAACTTTTTTTTTACAATGAAAAATACAAGCGCTCGCTTGGTAAAAATTAAAAATTTATTAAATATTTTAAATCTTAAAATATGTAATCCACAATACATACATATGTTATAGTATGTACATTGCTATCAGATATGTACATATATAGTTAAGGCCAGTGTGATTGATTCAAAAGAAAAGCCTATTTTTCTAACAAATAAAAATTATTATAATAAAAAATACATAAATTAACATATAAAGAGTAAAATAAAATTAGCTGTATGAAAAATTAAACAAAAATTTAACAGCTATAGCAATGAGAGAAAGTTTATTAAAAATGTTAACAAAAAAATCAAAAACACAATAAAAATAAAAAAAATAATAAAAATAAACACTATAAAGATTAAAAAATCACAGTAACAATTAAAAACTACAGTAAAAATTAAAAATTTTTTTTTTTAAATTGAAAAATATAAAAAAAATTATCAAGAATAAAAAAATACCACAAAAATAAAAAATAAGAAATTATAAAACTAAAAAACAAACACAATAAAAAAAATTTATAAAGAATAAAGAACATAAGAAAAAAAAATAAGACATCATGAAAAAAAAACATATAAATAAAAAACACAATAAACAAAATTTTAAAAAATTATAAAAACAAAAATTAAAAAAAAAATTGCAAAAAAACAAAATCGAATAAAAGGAAAAAAATAATAAAACTAAAAAACCAAACACAATAAAAATAAAAAATAAGACATCATGAAAAAGAAAACAAACATAAAGATAAAAATTAAAAACAAAAATTAAAATTCTAAAAATAAAAATAAAAAAACAATAAAAATTTATAAAATAAAAGAACACAATAAAAACAAATAATAAGAAATTATAAAAATAAAAAAACAAACACAATAAAAATAAACAATAAGAATAAGAAAATTATTAAATTTAATTTTTGAAACTTAATTAATTTTGTAAGATCAACACAAATTAATAAACTTAAGCAAAAATAATAAAATTGTCGAAATTTACTACATTAAATTTAAAATGAAATAAAAGAAAAGTTAAAAGCTAGACTATTAAGGTAAAGCATATAATAAAAACTTGATAAATGTTACGAAAAATATTATTAATAATAAATAATATATAATAAAAATAATAAATTAAAAAAAGAAACAAAACGAGATATTATATTATATAATGAATAAAATATAAATTATATTAAATTATAAAAAAAAATATAAATTATATTAATTTATAAATTAAAAAACCTTGTTTTTGTTTGCAAAATTCAAAATTAACTATAAAAATAAAAATAAAATCAAAAACACTAAATTTAAAGTAGAACAACACGTAATGCTTAAAATATTATATTTAAACTAAAAAAAAAAGAAAACAAACAACTTTTTGTTTGCAAAACTGAAAATTAATATAAAAACCAAACTAAAAACACAAAATAAAAATGTGTAGCATAAAAACAAACAAATAAATAAACATGCATGCGTACATACTCGTACGCACACATACATATGTATTTATATGTTTGTAATTTGTTGCGGTATATATAATAGAAAAATAAATATAATGGAAAAATTAATGTAATGGAACAATTAATATAATAGAAAAAAAATGTAATAGAAAAAAATATAATAGAAAAAAATATGATAGAAAAAAATATGATAGAAAAAAATATGATAGAAAAAAAAACGGATTCAAAATCTAAAATAAACACAGGGAAGTTTAAAAAAAAAAGTTTTTATCACAGCGAAATTAAAAAGTATGAGAAGTAATAAAACTAAAATAAAATTAATTATTAAACACAATTATGACAAATAATTACAAACTTTTTTTTAAAACTGTTTTCAATTACCAAAAGAAAAATGCCAAATATAAATTTAATTTCAGCTAAATATAAATTGTACACTTATTGCACGCTAATGAGTGCTATATAAAAAATACTGTATCATTTATCATAAAAAAGATTGTAAAACTAAAATGTAACACACGCCAGTACGTATTAAAGCATTAATATACAGATAACAAAAGAGAAGAATATTTGCAACTGTATTTTATTTTGGAATTCAGGTGATGTTTATTATATTTTTTATATAAAATCTAATAAAATTAAGCGGTTAAAACCACTTGTGCATTTCAAAAAATCGAATTTTTATTTTATATACATATATCGAATATATGTAAAATTTAAAATATTATACCAAAATTTGAAGTTAATCCGGCAAAATTTTTTTTAACTTAGCGTAATTGGTTTCCAAAACTTTAAAGGCATTTAACTAGAAACGCTGTTTTTAGCGGCAGTGAGAAAAACTTCTCGAAACGGCTGCACCGATCGACTTGAAAATTTCACGCGAACTGCTTAAATATATTATATATGTATTTGTCAGTTAATGTTCGAAACAATACAATTTTTGATAATAATTTCGATTCTCTAAGACACTCCGAGGTGTAAATCTTTTCAAGAAAACGACTTTTTCATTTTGGGAAACCGACGTTTTTTCAAAAAATTAAAATTTTGACTAGTTCTTCGAACATTAGCTGTACTCAATTAGTGTAATAAAGTTTTTAGTTTTTTGGATGTAAGATAATTTTAGGTAGAAAAATGTAACTCACCGCCAGACCACTTTTTTCGGAGGTCCACTTGGTGATCGGTGTATTGGTAATTGGCTGCGAGCTGAGTTTAAAATTTTTCAATATGAATAACCGCTTATTAAAATACAATAAATTCCATAAATGCACATAATTTTTCATTTATATTATAAATATCAAGCCGCTTCAAAAAAAAAACAAAAAGAAGTTACAAAAAACACATTTTTTCTCACTTGCAAGTGGATTTAACCGCTTAAATTGTGTTACAGCTGGAAACAATTATATTACTTAAAACAATAATTTTATTTGCGCTATATTCGGCAACACTTTGGTAAGACATATTTAATGTAAGTTATATAAATGCTTTAAAGCTTTATTTATACAAATTTTTTTGTATCAAAATTTATAATATAGCATGCATACTAGAAGTAAAATATATACTTTACTATACTTGTCTGGCACAACTGCAGGTTTTACGCAATGCTACTTAATTAAAACAACTACAAGAATTTCGAAAAATTTTAAAATTTTGGTACTGCAATTACACGCTAATCACAATTGGAACATAAGCTAATTGTCACGACATTTGCTATTAGACTTACAGGCAAGCGCGTTAGACTGCTGCTAGCAGTCACTTACGGGACGGCAAAAAGAAAAATTTTCGTAGCGTGTAACTCGAAATGGGCATCATAATTTCGTTTTTATTTCCGCGACGCTCGCTGACTTTGCGATTAACAGCAATTAAAATATCGACAATGTGACGGCTGTGAAACAAATTAAAATAAATGTATTAAATACGAAATTTTTTGCATTATCAAAAGTGATGTTTTTGTTTTTGTGTTTTTGTTTCATTACCGATCGCCGAAACGCTGTACAGCATCGCACAGTTCTTGTATAAACCAAGTGCCTTCAAGCGTATGGCGCATTGCCGAATAGCCGGGCACAGTGGACATAGCCTTTAGCAAGTCGCTGAAACGATGTGGCTCCACATCGGGCTTGTAGCGTTCCTATAAAGTGCATAAATGTTAATAGAGTGACCATTATATAATATATATAACTATACATAACATTTATAACAAAAATTAATAAATAAAATAAAAATAAAAAATAACGTTAACTTCGACTGCACCGAAGCTATAATACCCTTCACAGGTGCATTTTTTATAGCATAAAAATTTGCTTAATATATCTTGTAAAATAAATCAATTTTCCATACATGAACTTGATTTTGAACAGCCAGCTTGTATGCCAGCTATATGCTATAGTGGTCCGATCTAAATATGTTCGGCGATTGTGGCGTTATATGGGAAAATAAGCTAAGTGAAGATATCGCGTCAATTAAAAAAGTTTTCCATCGCTCGGTCATTTTGTATGGCAGTCAAAAGCCATAGTAGACCGATAACGTTTAATAAGCAGCTGTTTGCGAAAAAAAAAGACGTGTGTCAACTTTGAAATCGATATCTCAAAAACTGGGGGACTAGTTCGCATATATACAGACAGACAGCCGAACGTGACTAAAACGACTCAGCTCGTCATCTATATATACATACATAAATACTTTATAGGTTCTCCGACATTTTTTTTATGGGTGTTATAAGCTTCATTGCCACGCACGTAATGTACCCTGTGCAGAGTATAATAATTTACATCAATCATTCATACATTTATTGGTGATTCATCCTTCTGGCATGCTTGTATGATAAGTAATTTAGGCTTGCCAACTAGCGTGTCGCCGGTTATTATATGCTCGATTTCTGATATTTCCACAGGTATGCTGTTACTGCCATATACAGAGCCTACATTGAAAAAAAATAATATATATATATATTTATTATATGTAATTGCTCAGCAAAAACATTAGATGCCAACTACTTGCCTTCGGTGCCATGCGAAAGTATGCACACAATTAGCGAATCAAATTGAAAAGATAATTTGACCGTTTCCCTTATGCGATGCATTAGTTCAATATGTGTAAGATCTTCGAATACCTTTGGTTTGTAACCGAAAAGCGTGAAGACGTCTTTCAAACGATCCTTGTCCATATTCGAACCGTGACGTGGTGAGAGCGATTTTTTTGGCAATAATTTCTTGAAATAAATTAATTAGCTAATCATTTACAAATATTTCCGCGCACAAAACTCACCTTCATATCAGGATCGGTGTCTTCATGGAAATTTAGTTGATTGATGATTAATAGTATGCCAGCACGCTCGTGACGCACTTCGTACCTTTCATTTATGGTTAAATCACAGTCTCGTACTGAGGTAGATGCGTTTGCATCTGTTTGCATTGTTGTTGTGTTTTTCTCAGCAGCATAATTTTCACTATTTCCAGTGATCGCTGTCGCATTATCCGCAGTGATATGTGCGTTATTGTGCATGCGTTTATTATCTGCGTTATTTACAATTGTTTCAAGGAGTAGTGTCTTTAATGCATCCAAATCGTTAAATTTGAAAAATTCCAACAACACATCAACATCAGCACCATTTGCAACACCATCACCCAATGTAATAATGCGCCGCGATAGCCAGTCTAATAGAAATATTTCCAAATATGCGAAATCATAGAAACGAAGATGCTCCTCTGGCTGCTTACGTTGTTCATTGACGCGTAATACCAATTGTCCCGCTTGCGCCGGTTTCAAACGTTCACATATGCGATATAACGCCTTTAGCAGTGGATGCACAAGCACACTCAGTTCGCCAATATGTGGCAGATAGTGATAGTGTAATTCATTCCAGTCGAAGCCCAGCTTTCGTAAGACACGTCGAGCGCCTATTATAGACAAAGCTTCTACTAACTGTGCACGCCAATTGCGCGGATTAACGCTTATGTATTTGCTGAGTAAATCAGCGCCACCACAACTGCGTCCCTTGTGCGTATTGGAGAGTATTAGTAGCTAGGTGTATGCATATAAATATATTTTTTTATTAAATATTTTGGTTGTTTATATATTGATATACCTTTTGTAGCGCAAATTCAGCGTTTGCGCGTTCATCGCCAAACAGCAAAAAGCCCAATGACACCTGTTGAAAAAATAAAAACAAATACAAAGATAAACAAAAAATATTATATTTTATAATATAGTATTTGTCATCTTATTTTATATAAATAGTTATACAACAAATTAACAAGCTATGGAAATTTATTTACATATGCATACACATATATATATTTACACAGGAAATGCCTTTATTATAGCGGCAATTCACTGTACCAGCAGCACTTACCAATTCATAATAGCACAAATCCTGCTCCACATATTGCAAATCCTCTACATGAATATTATTTAATTTGGAAATTAAATTCAAACCTTGATGACGCGAAGCTGACATTTAAATCTAGTTAACGTAATATAAACAATAGCAAACAGTAAAAATATTACACATTAAAAATGCAAGTCCTATGACTATTTGACTAAAATTATTGTCAAATAACAAAATTCTGATAAGAATGCTATAGAATGAAGGATGGATGACATAAGCAGAGAATGTAAATGAGTACATTCTCTGGTAAAATATAGTTTGGCGCGGGTTGCCTGAGTTATATTTGTAAACAAATATATTCAAAAACAAGAAAAACCCGAAATCGCTTATAGTGAAATCGCGTGTGTGTCAAAAATATTGGCATACAAAAGTTTTAAAAATTTCGTTTTTGAAAATTTCGGTCATCATAAGCAGCGAATTTGATTTTCTTAATAAAAGTTCGATAATATTCAGTTTTATCGATAACAACTTGACATTTCGTTTTCAGCCGATATTCGCATTCTGCGATAAAAGGGATAACAATTATTTTACACTCATTCCTTGTGGAATTTGTTTATAAACAGTTGAGCACTAAAATAATTTTAAATGTGATGTTTCAAGAGGAGGAGGTGGTAAACAGCTGTCGAGTTTGTCGTAGTCCTAACCAGGATGGTGACTATGAGTGCCTCTACGTTGTGCAAGTAATAGAAGAAAGTGGTGTGATGCAGTCACACGCATGGCAGCTTACTAATACGGGCAAGCTGTATGAAGAAATGCTCGGTGTTGAGGTGAATCCCACGCGTTTTTTTTCTATAGTACCATCTATATTTAATAGGTTTCATCTTTTAGATTGAAGCATCAACCATGGAAATATACCCGCAGTATCTGTGTAATAGTTGTGATTTGCAAATGCGACTCTTTCGTAAATTGACCATGAAGGCGCGACGTACACTGGAAGAGTTGGCGAAAATTTACACCGCCACCGATAAAAGTAATGCGTATGTAGAAGGAAAAGGTGAAAATGTAACACATGTCGAATCGGAAACGAGAAACTCAGATATTTTAAAGGAAGAATCTGTAGAATGTGATATGTCTGCCATAGGTAATGAAAATGGTGTAATCGAGTCCCTGCTAGCGGATGCAAGTACAAATATAACTGAGCAAGAACAATTTGTTTTTGAGGACTGTCAAGCGGTTACTTACACGCCAACTACCATGGAAGAAGTTAATTACTTACAAGAATATGCGCCTGCAGTGACGCTGCCAACGAAAGTGAACACAAATGAGTGTTTAAATGAACTATTAGCAGAAGCGACTGACAGTGCTGATGTGCAGTATTACGAAGAGGAGCAAGCTGAGCATGTTACGGACGCGCAATTAGCTATCGAACATGCTGATATTAAAACAACAAGTGACGATAAAGTGGTCGAATTTGCGCCATTATTTGAAGAGAACTCTGTCGAAGAGCGCAATGATTTGAAGCAAGAACCAGTGGAATTTTTCGATGTGCATTATTTGGAAGACACCAATAGTAGTCTACCGATTAATGCATTGGAGCGACCGAAAGTGTCAGGCGCGTGTAACGGAGGCAACATTCGCCGTGCATACGAATGTCAAGCTTGCGGTTTGGAATTCCTACGACGCACCGATTTTCTGCAACATCGGTAGGTGCTAAAACCCGCTTTTATATGTATTATAAAAAGAAATTTATATTGTTGTTACTTATTGCAGTAAAACAGTGCACCACAACAAATTTCCATGTCCCTATTGCACAAAACTCTTACATACCAACGATGCCTTGCGTGTGCACTTGCGTTTGCACAGCGGTGAACCGGCTTTTAAATGTGATATCTGTGAGCGTACATTCAATCAAAAAGTGCATTACCGTTATCACATGGATCGACATAACAATGTGCGTAATTTCAAGTGTACGGAATGCCAAAAAGGATTTCTGTCCAAGCATGATTTAACGGTACATATGCGTTCGCACACCGGCGAACGACCGTTTGAATGCGAGATTTGCGGTATGCTGTTGACCCATTAAAAAATAATAATTATTTAAAATAAAAAAATACTTAAAAAAAAAAAATAGTTTAAAAAAAAAATAATAAAAAAAATAATTTAAAGAAAAATAATTAAAAAATAATAATTAAAAAATAATTAAAAAAAAATAATTAAAATAAAAATAATTAAAGAAAAATCATTTAAAAAAAATATAAAAAAACGTGTCCATCACTTTGTTTATCTTGCAGGCAAGGACTTTCTCATACTGCAGCATTTGAAAATGCACCGTTATTCACATACAGCCAAATCCTTTGAGTGCCATGAGTGCAAACAAAAATTCATATCTCCGTCGACGTTACGCATACACTTGCACACGATACACACAGCCGAACGTCGTTTTCAGTGTGAATTTTGCGTGAAACGATTTCGCCGAAAACATCATTTAATTGTAGGTTAACTATAAATTTATTGTGTATGTCCAATAGTGCACATTTTTTGTTGTCTGCTTTTAGGCGCACTACAAAGTGCATCAAAAATCCGAAGCCAGTGCCAACGATTACGACGATTTGGTGGAGGAGGGCGATGAGTATATGGAAGAGAGTGACTATCATATGGTAAATGAGCAACATTTGGCCATGCAGCAGGGTGTAAGCGAGTTCCTAGAAATCAACGAGGAAGAACACATGGATAGTATATTGGTAGTGGATGATGTTCACGGTAATGAACAAACCTTATATGGTGCTGATTACGAAATAGGCGTGACTGAGGAGAACGCCAATTTGACTTTTTAATGTACATACATATATATTATATAATATTAAGCGGATTTTGTTGTAAAAATACATTTTATATTATTTTCATCTAAATTACTGGAATTACACTTACTAAACTTTGCTTAGTGAGGAAAATGCATGCAAATTCCGTTTGATAACTTAGGTAGCTACAAAATATATAAATAAAAAAAAATGGAAGTAGGCAACAAATTGTGAATTGTGTGTTCGGTTCTTTTAGAGTTTTCACTACCGCAGAGCGAAGTTAAATTGGAAGTTGACATTCCTTTTGAGTTGCTTGTGGTTATTGTTGTTTGTCGAACAGTCGAACATACTCCAAATAATTTTTAGGAATGATTTTGAGTCAAGTGTGCTTTACCAGTTATAAACCCATATTTTTACTTTCGTAAAAGTTTTTGTTGTTGTTGTTGTATTAGTAGTAGTATTCCTGTAGTAATGCTGCCGAACCTCGACGACAACCAAACTATAACTTATCACCCAAGTGGGAACTAGGTAACCGTTACAACAACAACAACTCTCAGTTCTTGGCTTCGCCCCGGTTACGTAGACTCGACTGAAACTTACCGCTCCAAACAGGGTTAGATCGCCGAAATAACAACTGTTGGTCGCTTAAAAAATCCAAGTCCGTTCCAGTTATGTAGACTCGACTGTTGAGAAATCTGCCGCTACAACAACAATAACAACAACTCGACTGATGTGGCAACTCGTTGTTGTTGCTGTTGTAGCGGCAGAATTCTGCCGAGTTGACAGTCCTTGGCCGGAATAAATCCGGGTCCGTTCCGGTTACTTAGAACGTCGTGGAACGGTAACTCTTTAATATTGCGTGGTGCCATATCGGTCATAACCTAACACTTCTGTTGTCACATGTGCCAAACTTTAGTTGCCAACTGCAACTATTACAACATTGTGCAAATTACAAAAGCCACAGTATATTTTTTTGTTAATTTGTTATTTAAATTTTTAAAGTTTTTATTTTTTGCATTAAGATTTCTTTTTTTTTTAGTTTTTTACGTGTATATATATATATATAATTTAAATATTAGATGCTACTAAATACGTTTCTCATTCAAATTTGTGAGGAATCAACGTTGCGTTCTATTCACTTCATTTAATATGAAAGTGTGTGTGTTTTTTTACTGATTTTTGAAGCACTTGTTTTGTAGAGATAACATAAAGTTTTTTCACGCCAGACGCATTAAGCTTAGGAAAATCAACAATACGTTATATATATGTATACATATATGTATATTTATATCTATACTTGTTGTTGCTGTTATTGTTGCAAACTTATTTAAATATATATTTCTTGTATATTGCAGTAGTAGTAATTAATTTGCTGCTTGCACAATTTACAATACAACGAATTTTCATTATTATTACTTTTTTTTTTGAAAGTTTCTTTCAAATTTGCTAGTCTTCTGGGTTGTAGTGATTTTTTTTTATCCTCTACGCGTATACTACTAATTGCGCGTGCAGCTAGCTTAATATTTATATAAATATAGGCGTTTATGCGCAATGCGCTGCTCAAGCTGGCGAGCAGCTGTGGTATGAAATGGTGGTGTTGTTGTTTTGGTTTGGTTGTTAGTACTGCTGGTGGTTTGGTTTTTGTTTTGATTAATGCTTGTTGTTGCTTTTATAAATTAGCTATGAAATTTTGCAATTAATAACAATTTTATTTTTTCGTCTTTGCAAATGTCGACAAACAGGTGTATGGAAAGTGAGAGGTTAGGAAATTTACGGTAGGAACAAAAGGAAGAGCACAGAACTGTGGTAGGAATGTGCATAGACGAGCGTAGAAAACGGTTTTCAAAAATTTTTAACTGAAAAAATTTTATAACAAAAAGAAAGTTTGGTTAATATGCATGCTGAACGTCATGTGTGTATGTATATGTTTGTGGTTCGTTGTATAGAATCTTTGGATAGCGAAGAAAAAAACAATAAATATTATTATATTAACAAAAGCTGATGAACAAAAGTGTAAAGGCTTTAATATAATTGCATACATGTACGAATGTGTATGCAGATATATTTTTTAATGCTGTTGGTCAATACATTTATGAGACAAAACAGCGATAAACAGCGAGACCAACAAAATCTTAAAAATAAAAATTTAAAAAATGTATTTCGAAAAACATCCAAACCGGTTTTGTTGCAACACTTAATTTCGTTAAAAAAAGTTTCTTTAATTTTATTCAAACAAAAAAAAAGTTTCTTTATATTTACTAATTAAAAAAAATTTCCTTATTTGTATTTTCATTAAAAATTTTTATTTTTATTAAAAAGATATTTTATTAAAGAAAAAAATACTTTAATAATTTTATTAAAAAAAATATTTTAATAATTTTATTAAAAAAAATATTTTAATAATTTTATTAAAAAAAATATTTTAATAATATTATAAAAAAAAATATTTTATTAATTTTATTCAAATAAAACAAAGTACTTCAGTAATTTTATTACAAAAAAAAATCCTTTAATTATTTTTATTTAAAAAATCCTTGAGTAATTTTATTTTAAAAAAATCCTTAAGTAATTTTATTTAAAAAAAAATACTTAATTTTCTTTAAAAAAAATACTTTGATAATTTTATTAAAGAAAAAAAATACTTTATATTTTCTTTAAAAAAAAAATACTTTGATAATTTTATTAAAGAAAAAAAAACTTAATTTAAAAAAAAATACTTTGATAATTTTATTAAAGAACAAAAATACTTTAGTAATTTTATTTACAAACAAAAATACCTTAGTAATTTTATTTAAAAACAAATTGTGTTTTTATTAAAATAAAAAAAATACTTCAGTAATTTTATTTATAAAAAAAATATTTTATTAAAAAAACAATACTTTAGTAATTAAAAAAAAATACTTTAGTATTTTATTAAAAAAAAAATTACTTATAATTTGATTAAAGAAAAAAAATACTTTAGTAATTTTAATTTAAAAAAATATTTTATTAATTTTATTGAAGAAAAAAGAAAAATACTCTAGTAATTTTATTTAATATACTTTAGTGATTTTACTTAATAAAAAAATACTCTATTAATTTTAATAGGAAAAACAATTATTTGCAATTTTATTAACAAATATATTTTCATAATTGAAAAAAAAAACAATTGTAATTTTACTTTATATAATAAAAAGTATTTTCATAATTTAATTAAAAAAAATTAGTTTGTAATTTTACAGTAAATTTATTTTTAAAATTTTTGTTTTGAAATAAAAAAAAATTAATTTTTATGTTTTGGAATAAAAAAAATTAATTTTTATGTTTTGAAATAAAAAAAAATAAATTTTTATGTTTTGAAATAAAAAAAATTAATTTTTATGTTTTGAAATAAAACAAAATAAATTTTTACAAGCTGTGTTGGATAATTTTAAAATTTTTTCAAGTTTTGAAAATATACTACAAGTACATTTTTAATAAATTTGTTGGTAATTTTTTTAGATTTATTGTTTTATGTACACAAGCTACTTTCGAAACATTGTGTTTGCTGCTAGTTTTGAAAAACCGGTTTGGATTTTGTTTGTAAAACAAAAAACTTTCGTAATTTTATAAAAACAAAAATAAACATTTTGCAGTTTTATTAAAGAAAAAAAATTTTGCAATTTTAATAAAGAAAAATAATTTTGCAATTTTACCAAAGAAAAATAATTTTGCAATTTTATTTAAAAAATAATAATTTTTATCTATTTTTAAATGAAGTTATTTTTTTTAATTAAAGATTTTGAAAATATCACTATATTTTTAATAACTGTGTTAAAGTTTTTAGAGTTTAGATTTTGAAAAATTGCTATATTTTTAAATATTGAGTTGGAAACTTTTTTAGATTTTTTGTTTCGCATAAGCTATTTTTGTAACATTCTGTTTGCTGCAAATTACATGCCTTTTAGTAACTACTTTGAAACGAAATGTTCATTGTTTTTTTGCGCTTAAATGCAAACGCTTATTATATGCCACCGACACTTATACTACAACAACGTTGACGGCACAAAAACGCATATTATAATACTTGTATTCATATATAAAATTCCTAAGATTCATGTTTTTTTATTATTTGTTTTTTGTTTTTTTTTTTTTGCATTTTGCATTTTGCACGTTTGCACGTTTGAAGCTATGCAAGTATGTATGTATGTAGATGTATAATCAATTTAAATTCAGAAAATAAATAGCTTAGAGAAAAGGTTAAAAACGAAAAATTATTATTAAAATTATAATAAGCATATTCAACTTCAACATCATTATCATCAACATTAAATCAACGTCTACGCGTATATACGCCGCTAACAGCTCCCGCGTAGATTTGCCGAAATGGGCAAGTGTGTATGTGTTTGTGTGTTGCGAATGTGTTCAGAAATGAGGGTTTGAGTATGAGCATGAGCGTAGGATGAATGTGCAAAAATTAATATGTATTTATGTATGTATAACTGGTTTGGGCAGCCAGCTGTGCGTGGTGAATATCAGTAAACTTGCGATGAGCATGTTTGTTGCAAGCAACTGCTGATGTTTTTGAAAATAAATGTTTTGCTGCGATTGCAATTGTGAGCGTTTTGTGTGTGTGTTTTTGGTTTTTTGTTTTTCTTATATGCAAAACACCACAATTTGCTTTTATGCCTATCACGTTTGCTACTTGCCACTGGAATGGGGTGTACAAATATAGTTTTTTGTTTTGTTTCCTTTTTCGCTTTTTGTGTTCGTAATGTGGGTGCGTTAGATTTAAGGAGTATTTTGTTTGTTTCATAGTTTATCTCTTTATAAGTATATTCATTTAATTGCTTCTGCTGTTGTTGCGCCTATTAATTCTTGTTGCTGCTGTTGTTGTTAAACATCATAATTGTTTATTTTTCTCTTAATTCCTTGTTGCTATCCTTACAGCACTGCTATGCTTGCTCGCTGGATGCCAAATATCTTCTTTTTTATATTAATACATTTATATATATATATATATGTTTTTTGCTGCTGTTATTGTTGCTGTTAATTTTCCAAACAATGCATTTTTTGCCACAAATCAAATGTGCGTTTAACGCTTGCCGCCAGTCGGTTTAACGGTGCACGA